ACTTTGAAGTTATTGGCATAAATGGTCCCTAATGGAAAAAGAGTGATAAGGAAGGACCTTGCATGCAAATAGGAAGGCGCGAGCGTACACCCAGCGTAATCTGGGTTACGCCCCGCGTATAAAGGGAAATGGTCGTGGGTGCCTTAGGTGTACGCCCAACGTACAGGAAGTACGCCCAACGTACAGGAAGTGCGCCCAGCGTACGTCCAGAGTCCAGAAAACCCTAATTCAGGGTCAAGCACTATATAAGGAATGATATGCCTCAAGAGTCAGCCTCCATTTCACCCTTGAACAACCACCACGAGACCCTAACCTTCCTTTGAGTGTTTTTGGAGCTTTGGAGGCTTTTGGAGAGTATTTTAGTGTTGTAAATCCATTTTCTCAAGCAAGTGAAGAACAAGGAAGGTGGTGGACTGAAGGAGAAGATATAGATCTGGGGTTATTGCTTCATTTCAGACTTCCTGGAGGTATAAAGCTATAAACTTTCCTTAAGCATGCTTAGATCTAGTGTTGTTTGGTTTTGGAGTCTTTTTGGTCCCAAGATTAGAGCTTTATGATGCAAATTCGGCTCCTAGTCTTAGAGTTGCTATTTCCAGTTCTAAATGAGTCCCTAATGCAGAAAGTTGCCATCTTGATGGCCCATTTGTGTTCATGCATGAGATCTAGCCCTTGTATGGAAGTAGAATATCATTTTTGGAGTTTGGGTTTGTTTGGGCCAAGTAAAGTCACCAAGTCAGTGACTTTATGGATTAAGACATGGAAAAGGACCAGGATCTGTGATTGTAGCTTTTAAAGTGGAGTATTAAGCACTTAATGAGAAATGGACTTAGCAGGGGGGTTACGTTGTGCGTACGTGGAGCTACTCCCAGCGTACGCACCACTTAGTCATTACGCTTAACGTACGTGGATGTACACCCAGCGTACTCTGTCAGTTGGACCTTGTGCTTTTCGGCCACGGTTTGGGCCATGCTTTGGGTCTTTGGGCCTTGGTGGGCCATTAGAAGTCAGATAAGTTGGGCCAAGAATATATTTGGGCTTAGGGAAAGGCCTAATAGAGGGATTGGGGCCCAATTTAGCAAATTGGGCCATTAGTGGGCCGCTAGTAGGCTTGGGGAGCTTACTTAGTGTTGGGCCTTAGTTTTGGACTAGGTTGGACTAGGAGGGTAAAATGGTCATTTTACCATAAAGAGAATTATTGGTATGGGCTAAAATGATATTTTGGTTTTGGAAGCTCAGGGAGCCGGAGGATCAGCAGTTCGGGAATTTCCAGCTAGCAGCCAGTGGAACATCAGCGGATTTTCAGCAGTGCAAGGTGAGTTTTCCTCTAGTAAGGACGGGTCTAAGGCACCAATGTCGGCCCGTGTATGTAGTTGCAGTATGCCGGGGTCAGCCCGATGCAGTTTATATGTTTCCGGACTTCGGTCCGATGCCAGGGCGGTCCCGAGAAGTATTTAAGTATGCGTGATGTCTTTGTGATTCATGCAGGTTATATGATATGTGCTATGTGTTCTGGACTTCGGTCCGATGTCAGGGCAAGCCCGATGTATGTTAGTTTACATGTTATGTGTTATGTGTTTCGGGGTAAGACCGCTGCCGGGGCAAGCCCGATGTATGTTAGCTATTATTCCATGTATTATGTGTTCCGGGGCAAGCCCGATGTATGCTAGTTTATATGTTATATGTTATATGTTCTGAGCTTCGGTCCGATGCCGGGGCAAGCCCAGTGCAGATTATGTGATTATGTTATGTGTTTATGATATATGCTATGCTGTGAATGTGTCGGGGGTAAGCTCGATGCCGGGGCAAGCCCGATGCCGGGGTGAGTCCGATGCCCGATGCGGTCGGATGCCGGGGTGAGCCCGATGCCGGACAGGAGTCTGATGCCGGGATTCGTCCCGGTGCAGTTAGGAGTAGTCCCAGAGTTATATTTATGTTATGTATTTATGTTATATGCATTGTTGATATGTTTATATGTGTACCGGATTACGGTCTGATGTCGGGCAGGTCCCGATGCAGTGGGCTAGGCCCAAGTTATGTGATTATGTGTATGGTATGTGGTAGTATGGGGAGACTCACTAAGCTTCGTGCTTACAGTTTTCAGTTTTGGTTTCAGGTATTCCCAGTAGCGGAGGGAAGAGCTCGGGTTGATCGCATGACACACACCAAAGGAGTTTTAGCCTGGGATGTTTACTCTGATAAAATGAACAAGTGTTTTGAAATGAAACTCTGATTTGATATAATGACTAATGTTTATGGATGATTGATTTTATAATTATGGCTTGGTTAATGATTTAAAAACAAAATTTTTGGTTACGATTTTTGGGATGTTTCAGAAAAGCTTCCTTCCGGTTGGATAGACTTCAAAAACTACCTTAGGCATAAGCGAAAGGAGATGTCTGTGGAGGAACTGGTGGTGCGTCTTCGCATTGAAGAAGACAATCGAATGGCCTTGAAGAAAGGCAGTGAAGTTGAATCTTCTAAGGTTCATATGGTTGAATCTGGTCAAACTTCCAAGAGCAAAAGCAAGGGACCTCACAAAGGGAAAGCAAAGGGAAAAAAACTTAGGCCCCAAGGTAGGAACTTTCAAGAAGAAGTTCAAGTGCTACAACTGTGGCCAACCGGGTCACACGGCTTCGGAGTGCCCGCAACCTAAGCGGGAAAACTGGCAAGCAAACATGGTGAATGATAACATGGAGTTGGTGGCCATGATAACCGATCTCACGGCTATGGTTTCTGAAGTGAACCTCATGAATACAAATTCAAAGGAGTGGTGGATTGACACGGGGGCTACTCGTCATGCGTGTCATGATAAGAGTGTTTTCAACACCTACAAGGAAGTTGAAGATGGTGAAAAGCTCTACATGGGAAATGCAGCTACCGCGGATATCAAAGGTGTTGGTGATGTCATTCTAAAAATGACTTCGGGGAAAGATGTGAAACTTAGGGATGTTTTGTATGTTCCTGAACTTCGTAAGAATCTATTGTCGGGTGGTTTGTTGAATCAATTTGGTTTTGAGCTTGTGTTTGAGCCGGGCAAATTTGTTTTGTCCAAAAATGATATGTTTGTGGGGAAAGGATATGCCTTGAATGGCATGTTCAAATTGAATGTAATTGTGACAAACAAAATGAATAATGCAAGTTCTAGTTCTGCTTATTTGTTTGGGTGTTCAAATGTTTGGCATGGTCGCTTAAGACATGTAAATTACAATTCTATTAAGGGACTAATTAAACGAGACTACATACCAAAACTTAATATTGACTCAAATCACAAATGCCCCACATGTGTTGAAACCAAACAAACTAGATTATTTTTCCAAACAATCAAAAGAAACATCGAACCTCTTGATTTAATTCACACTGATGTGTGTGATTTAAAGTCAATTCCTACTCAAGGTGGGAACAAATACTTCATTACGTTCATCGATGATAGCACGAAATATTGTTACATATATTTACTCAAAAGTAAAGATGAAGCAATAGACAAGTTTGTCTTGTACAAAAATGAAGTTGAGAATCAACTCAACAAGAGAATTAAAGTAGGTAGAAGTGATAGGGGTGGAGAATATATCTCTCCTTATGCTGAATTTTGTGCAAAAAATGGAATTCGTCATAAATTCACATCACCCTATTCACCTCAATCCAATGGAATTGCTGAATGAAAGAACCGTACCTTGAAAGAAATGATAACGCCATGATAATTAGTTCGGTGTAAACCAGTCAATTTTTTTCTAGACTGATTGTGTATCTTCTCATACTCTTGGGGTTTATAAGTCGGTTATTCAAACTCTATAACTGCTGATATGGACTTTTAAACCTTTATCGGCCTTGGGGCTCTCTATTGAGATAAATTTGATGATTACATTACAAGTCTAAGAGAAACCGACTAAAAATGTCGATCAAGCTGAATGATGATGGTTACTCTGTTGAGACTTTATCTTCAAACTGACAACTTAGCAAGGCTTCTTAGGCGGTCTGAGAAGTACTTCAAGCTGTTGCAGTCAGCCTCACTTTGGGTTTGGGAAGACACTGATGCTCGCATGTCATGGAATCTTCAACAGCATATATTTACAAAATTCATCTACAACAACATATATAAAATAAAACCCTCTCTCTCTCTCTCTCTCTCTCTCTCTCTCTCTCATAAGGGGTAACAATCTTTGTCTTTAAGGATGATATTTTGAGAGCAATTTTTGTGTGAGTTTTTTGTAACCGCGTGAGAATTCATATCAAATCTAAGTTTTCAATTTGAATTAGATTGGTAAGAATTGTAAATGTGTTCTTCACCCGCTTTAGAAACTGTACTGTAATTTTCCATTGATGAAATGAAATTTTACATTCCATTGATTATGTTGTTTTAGGGTTTTAATTGATTATTGTTCCATTATTAGTTTGTATTATCTACAACTCAATTAATTCATCAGGAACCAACACTATGAATGTATAGTATAAACTTCTTGTATTGAATCCAAGTGACTATTTTGTTGCTTATACTCTATATGGTAGTATGGCCTTCTACTTGTTCTATAACTGTGTTACAGTTAAGATGTTTCAACTTCCAAGTGTCAATGTAGTGCCCTAAGCATCCACAATATTTTTTACAGAATAATTTAAGTGGTTTGGTGGTTATTTATGATTATTGTCTCCTTGATCAATCACATAATAAGAACGAAACCCTTCCCGGAGGTTGGAATCTCAGTTCGTCCCACCTGTGTTTCGAGAAACAGGTAATTCTCCAAAGAATAGTCAGAGACTTTTTATTTCATGCATAATAAATATACGTTCCTATGGGGCATTATTTATAATGTCCAGCTAAACCTAAAGAAATCCTTAATAACAGAAATCCTAAACAAAATCCAAAACTAACACTTTAATAAAAAGGAAACTTGAATCCTGAAGCAATCTTAAAACTTATCCCCAAAGCAATCTTGAACTTATCTCCTGCCACGGTAGACTTGACCAAATCGAATGGGATAGAAAGCAATTATACAACCTGATCTATGTTACATACTTTTGTAAACAGGCTTATAATAAGCTGTTGGAATCAGGATAAGGTCGTTTTTTCTTCCAACGGTTACACCAAAGGCTTCAGTCATATCAAGATCCTTGTTGTCTGTTCCATCTGCCAGTTTCCAGTCAAAATGGTAGAGTAAAGATGCCAATGGAAGCTCAACATTTGCTAATCCATATGAAATCCCAGGACATATTCTCCTTCCAGCTCCAAAAGGTATATATTTGAAGTCAAGTCCTCTGTAATCCAAACTGCTGTTTCTGAATCTCTCTGGATGAAAACTTTCAGGTTCATCCCAATACTTGGGATCTCTGTTAATTGCCCATGTATTCACTATCACTCTGCTCTTCACAGGTATTTCGAATCCTTTCATCTCACACCTCTCACTGTTTTCTCTAGGCAGTCCCAAAGGGCCTGGAGGGTGCAACCTCAAAGTTTCTTTTATGACTAATTCTAGGTATTCTAATCCTTGAATACCTTTTTCATCAAATGTTCCTCGTTTGTCAAACACCTGTCTAACCTCAGCTTGCGCCTTGTTCATTATTTGTGGATTCTTTAGTAGTTCAGACATTGCCCACTCAACTATTATAGAAGATGATTCACTTCCAGCACTGAAGATATCCTGTGAATGGTATAACAATGAACAAATTTAAGGTATTATAACCAGATGCATGAAGATGGTTACTAACCAAGATAACTGCTTTGATGTCATCAGTAGATAAGGGAATTCCAAGGTCACCACGCTTCTGAACTTTCAACAAAACATCTACTAGGTCTTTATCCACTTCATCTTCACCATCTGCTGAAATCTTGTGTTCTTCAATAACATTACTCAGAATTTGATCAAATTGTTGATGAATTTTGTCAAGTTTTGGTCTGGTTTTACTAAAGAAGGCAAGTAGTTTCCATGAAGGGAAGAGATCCGCAATGCCAAATCCTGCTCCAAGAGCTATGCTTTCATTAACAAGCGAGATGAATGCGTCTTGCTCTTTACATTTTTTACCAAAAGCCGCTCTTTCAGTGATCCCATAGATTAGGGATGAGAGACTCTTTCGAAGATTAATGGATGATCCTTCACTAATGGAGTTGATGAATTTTGACACCTCTTCTTCTCTTACCCATCTAAGTGACTGGACTTGCTTACTACTCAAAAGCTCCAAAGTGCAAATCTTACGGAGCTGCCTCCAGTATTCCCCGTATGAAGAAAACATGATGCCTGCACCATTATATCCCATCACATACGCAGAAAGATGGAAAGGCCTATTTGCAAAAATGGCATCATGTGTTTTCATCACTTGTTTTGCTGTTTCGGGTGATGAGGCGACAAAAACACAAAGTTCTCCAAGCTGGAGATGCATCAGAGCTCCGTGTTTATCTGCCAAGTCTCTTAGGCGATGGTGTGGAAGTGATCCAGCAAGATGATGAACGCTTCCTATAACAGGAAGCTTCCATGGCCCTGGAGGTAACTTTGGTTTAGATTGCTTCAATAGTTTCAGAATCATCAATACCAAAAGTGTGAACGCAGAAAGGATTGGAAACAAGCCGAAGCTCAGCTCCATCAGGGTAGTTATGGGATTTTGAAAAGAAAATAAGGAATACGAAACTAACAAGATCTCATAGGTGAAGACTGAAGAATGATTTATGTTTATATTGTTATCTTCCTTCTTGACTCTGTAGATGCTTAATTTAAGTCAATTCAGAAGATGCTGTTTCATAGATTTTAACCTACTATATTGAGATTATGACTGCAATAATTTGTCAATAAAAAACGATGTTTGGTGTAGTAAACTGCAATATATTAATAACAAGAACAACACATTGAATGATGGTGAAAGGTATGTGCATATTTTTTTGAAAATTTTATTACAAGAGCATCTCCACTGGGCTTGCAATTGCCTGCAAGTCAACTTGCAATGCCATGTCACCTAGTGTGGGCCTTATTATTACATGATTTGTATTTACTTTTTAAATTAGCTTATTACATTATAAATATATATATTAACATATTAAAAAATATTTTTTTTTTATTTTTTTACAACCATCCGGATTTTAAGATCAAACTAACTAGAAGCTAGCGTAAAAATACAACGTTTCTTTTTTACAAGTAATCAAACACGACAATCAAGAATTCGATGGGAGTGACATCAATAACCAATAAATTGAGGTAAAGAATATGGTGGTGGTTAAAAGTGTCACTAGGAGGCAAGTGACAGTTGCGGTGAGGAGAGTGGTGAAGATCACAATGAAGTAGGAAGATAACATGAGGTTAGACTTGAAGGAGTTGACTTTTACTGAGAACAGAGCCTCATATAAAAGGATGTGCACGCTTAATAATCATGACTTTACTTTGTGTGTGTGTGTGTTATTCACCATTGTGGATTTGTTTTCTCACGTTTCATATGCCGAAGGTCTACCTTTGTTTGGAGTTGGAGGTACACCCTTGGTATGATTTCTGAAGTAAAACACATGGATATGAACATATAACACGAGATAGGAAAAAAAATGCAGAAGCTCATTACAATCAAAGTTGTAGTTTACAATGTGACATTATGCTGTCTAACAAGTATTTGTGGTGTACGTCTTTTCTTCCAAGGATCAACCCGAGAGCTTTATGCAGGCGCAGGATGGTAGGCAGTTGGTATCAGATTCAAGTTTGCTTTTCTTCTAACTGTGACACCAGACGTTTCATTCATATCAAGGTCTTCACTTGTCATTCCATCAGGAAGTTTCCAGTCAAAATGGTAGAGCAATTTGATGAGTGGAAGCTCCACATTTGCCAATCCAAATGACATTCCAGGGCACACTCTCCTTCCACCACCAAACGGTATGTACTCGAAATTAAGTCCTTTGTAATAATCTATTGAGCTGCTGAGGAATCACTCTGGATGAAACCTCTCAGGATCTTTCCACCAAATAGGGTCTCGACCAATGGCCCATGCATTCACAATAACTTTGGTTTTGGCTGGTATCTCATAACCATTGATCTCGCATCTCTCCCTGCTTTCTCTGGGAAGCAACAGAGGGGCTGGAGGGTGTAGTCTTAGAGTTTCTTTAATAACCAGTTTTAGGAACACAAGTTCTTGAATACACGTCCCATCAACTCTCCCTCTTCTAGTGACAACTTCCCTTATCTCAGTTTGTGCCTTTTCCAAGATTCTTGGGTGTTTCAGCATTTCGGACATCGCCCACTCTACAGCTGTAGAAGATGTTTCACTCCCACCACTAAAGATGTCCTGCAAAAGCCAATACCCTTTCAGTCGTGTGTTATCGGTGTTTTTGATTAAAGTATTGAAACTTGTTTATAGTCTTATAGCATTAGATTGAATTACTAACCAAGATGACTGCTTTGATGTTAGCAATAGACAAAGGAAATGTTTGAACATCACCATGTTCCTGATATCTCAAAAGAACGTCCACAAGATCTTCATCTACATCACCCACAATAGTTTCCCCCTTTTTAGCCTGGTGTTCTTCAATGATGTTACCGGTTATCTCCTCAAACCTCCCACGAATTTTCTCAAGTTTTGCCTTAAATCCAGTGAGCAAAGGAAGCATGGTAGAAGAAGGGTAAAGGTCTGAAACATTGAATCCTGAAGCTGCAGCTGAAGCTTCCTTGACAAGTGCGATGAAAGATTCTTGATGTTTGCATTTCTTACCAAACGCCACCCTGGCAGTGATCCCATACGTTAATGAGAATATTCTTTGGCTAAGATCGATCGGAGATCCTACATGTTCACTGATAGACTTGATGAACTTTGAGACCTCTTCTTCCCTTGTAGACGTAAATGACTGGACCCGCATTGGGCTCAAAAGCTCCATGGAGCAAATCTTGCGAAGCCGTCTCCAGTAATCTCCATATGGAGCAAAAGTAAGGTTTGTAGCACCATTACATATCACAAATGAAGCAAAAAGGTAAGGCCTATCAGAAAAGTTCACATCATGAGTTTTCATAACCTCCTTTGTTGTTTCAGGTGAAGAAACAACCATTACAGAAAGTTCTCCAAGCTGCAGGTGCATCAGAGGTCCATATGTCTCGGCCAAGGCCAATTCTCTCAGTCGCTGATGTGGAAGACAGCTCCCAAGATGATGGATATTTCCTATGATAGGAAGTTTCCATGGCCCTGGGGGTAGACATGGATTTGAACATTTTCTTTTGGACAGCCTCCTCAACAACATGAACATTAAGATGAAAAAAGAAAAGATTATCATATGGGATGAAAAAAATACAGGCTCCATGAGGCAAGTTAGACTGGTTTTCAAGGTAATCCTGTATTTTACCTCCCAAATTTTAAGAAACATATATAGGAATACTGTAGTTAATCAATTATGCTTGCATTGAGTCGGTCAAATTATAGAGAAGGACAAGTGTAAGAAGACAAAAGTTATCATAGTGAAATTCGGTATCTTGGTTCAATCCCACAAATTTGAAGGGTTCAAATTCAAATCTCACATGAAAGAGAAAATTAAAGAAGACGGTTTGATTTGTGTCGTTTTCCATAAAACCGATTCCTTCGGAGCAATCTGTTTCATTTTATCAGAATAAACAAAGCGGCAGTCCATCATAATTACAACAAAGGTATCTAACCCACACAACAACAAACAAGGGAAACAAAATCAAAAGATAGAGTTGACTTTAGAGTATAATATAGTGAAGCAGAAGACGACTTTTCACTTGATTAGATACATGATACTTTTAACAGTAGCATGAGTAAGTTATGATGATAAACAATTCAATTCTTAATTTCTAAATAACATAATCATAAAACTCAATATGTGAAGTATGATCCATAGTATGGCTAGGAATTTTATCAAGCTTGACCGGATTATCCTTCCCTCCAATCAACTTAGCAGGATTCCCAACAGCAGTAGTTCGAGCGGGCAGATCCTTCAACACCACTGACCCTGCCCCAATTTTTGCCCCTTCACCAATCCTAACATTCCCCAAAACACAAGTCCCTGCCCCTATCAAAACCCCATCTCCAATCTTCGGATGTCTGTCCCCACAACTCTTCCCGGTCCCACCCAATGTCACATTATGCAAAATCGATACGTTGTCTCCGATCACTGCCGTCTCTCCAACAACAACTCCGGTGGCATGATCAAACAATATCCCACTTCCGATCTTAGCTCCGGGATGAATGTCCAAAGCTAAAACCTCAGAAACCCGATTCTGGATCAAAACCGCCAAGATTTTTCTGTTTTGTGACCATAGCTTGTGTGCTACTCTATGAGCTTGACAACCAAGAAACCCCTTAAAATGAAGGAAACAGTGAACATAGCTCAAACAAGCTGGGTCCCTTTCCTTTACGGCCTTTAGATCATCTTTTACAGCTCCAACAATATCTTGATCGCCTGTGAGTACATCCATGAAAAGATCATGGAGGGTTCTACTAGGGAGACTAGAACTTCCGAGCTTTGTGGAGAGATGATGAGATAGAGCACTCTCCATGGTATGATGAGATAAGATTGATCTAGAATAGTAGTCTGACAGTATGGGTTCTTGGTCAACATCAGATCTTGCTTCATCTTTCATTATCAGCCATATATCATCGTCATCTTGCTTATCGGTTTCATGTTTAGAGCTGGATTCTGTGTGAATCGTTGAAATGGGTATGCAGGAAAACTGATCAAGAACTTGTGCTCTTGAATCATGAACACAAACAGCCAATTGATCATCTTGTTGTTTGGGTGAATCGGTGAAAGGTATTTGTGGGTGTGATAAGGGGTAAAAATGGGGTAAGGATCCAACAAAATTAAGTGACTTAGAGTGGAGACGATGATGAAGAACTGAGGTCAGAAGTGAGACCTTAGTCTTCATGGAGAAACAGGGAAAAGAGAAAATAAAGAATTTGACCAAAACATAAAAGGATTTTGAGGGTGATTTTGGCTTAGTGGGTGATGTCGGACTGTCGGCACAGGTTTAACGATTTTATAACCCTAAAAAGGCAATTACTGTAATAATGTTTCTTATTCTTTGATTATTACGTATCTACCCTAATAAATAAAAATGATTTTGTCAAATGTCATCTTCTTATTTATTTGACACTTGTCATTTTCTAGATTTTTTGAATTATTTAATATCCACTTGTCATTTTTATATACTTTTTCATTTTTAGTCAAATTCCACCTATTAAATGTCATCTCGTATTAATTAATTTTATTAGTATATTAATTAATGTACATAATAACTTTCTATTTGTGAATTCATCTTTCTATTAATATATTAATTATTGTATAAGTATATTAATGTAGATAATACCTTCCATTTGTGAATTCATATTAATTAATTTTATTAGTATAGATTAATTAAGATTAAATTACATAAATGGTCAATGTGATTTACTAAATGTCAACTCAGTTGTTACTTATTTTATTATGAACATGGTTTTTGTGGTTACCAAAACTTACATGAATGGTCTTTTTTTGTTCACACCCTTTTACTTTTGGACCTTTTAATAAACCCATGTAATACACGGATCACACATCTAGTACAAAATAAATATGCTTGTACTCTATTTTTATTTTAAGATATGTATTTTTAACATCAGTATTTTATAAATTATAATAAAACAGTATCTCTATTAATCCACGAATCGATCATGATTTAAACATAGGATATTAATTAAACTAACCGCTTGTGTTTACTAAGGGCCGGCCCTAGGGGTGTTAGGGCCTCGGAAAAAATAGGCCCGAAAAGCATCTGATTAACTTAATAACTAATAATGTTAGTATTATATATAGCGTGTTTTGTGTGTTGTCTCAAAATTGTTTTGGTGCATTTGGTTAAGGGCACACCACTAGTTATCTAAACACCGTTGTTTGATCCTTCCGGATGTGCATCCATGTTTTTTTTTTGTGCCTAAAATATGCTCTATAAATTAATAGGAGCGTCTATTGTACAAATTGTTGTTTGATCCTTCCGGATGTGCATCCATGTTTTTTTTTTGTGCCTAAAATATGCTCTATAAATTAATAGGAGCGTCTATTGTACAAATTGTATCTAGATGAGCCGTTGTGAGTGCATAGACTTTTAGGATAAATGTCTTGGTTCGATATCAACTGGTCCTTATTTTTTCTCTCGATGTTTTCCATTTTAATATATTCATTTTAATTTTTAAACAAAATTGTATAGTTATTTTGGTTTCTTACTTTTTTTATGTTTTCTCTTAATCCAAATGATACGGTTAAATTCTTATTCTTACCATTAGTTAAAATCTCAAAAATCTCAAAAGTTAAAATTATTAGAGTCGAGTTTTTAACTTTTAATTTAAACAAAAATCTCAAAAGTTAAAATTATTTCATGTAGTGTTTAAGAACAAACTATTGGACTTTTTAATTAATTTCCAGAATATTTCTGTATTTATCGTTTTTAAACAATTGTCCTTTTATATAATTTTACATATTATAAAATTTTCATCTATTTTTGCACGTATATAACAAATAAAAAACTACAACTTTCAGCTATCAGTTACCAGCTAAGTTTATTAAATGTTTATGTGTTTTACTTTGTTTCTACATTTATTAATCAAGTTGATTATATTTTAACTATCATCATATTTATTATAATATTGTGAAATTCATATGACATAAATATCATCTTTTGATATTTCATATTTATTACTGTGGACCACCATAAAGGGTTATGGGACTGTAATTGTGCAAGTTGGTCAGAATAGCCTTAAGCATGGACAATAGTGGAAAAGTCATACGGACTTGGGATAATGATATTAAGACAAGTAACAATAGTATAATGGTGAAAGGTTTGGGTCTTATCTTTTCGAAGTTGAAACATAAATGTTTGCTTTCTCATCACATGTTCCACTCTAAAACTTTTTGTACAAATTTGTTTTTCCAAATACATTTTTTATATATCCATATTGTTGGAACATGTTCATTAGCTTTCTCTAACACCTGTAAAAACTCTTAAATATGTTATTTAATAAAATTCCATGAAAACTGTCGAAAATTTCACTGCAGAGTCGATTTTTTTGTTTGATGTATTCATTCCAATTTGGAAAATATGTTTCAATCAAAACTTGTTAATAATCTTACCTCACTAATAAAACCTTATTGGATATAATTCTAACATGATTATCTACACAGTCATATCAAATTCACACAATTTTCATTAAATACACAGTTAGACTTTAGAAGAAGCCCATTTTTTTAATAAAAAACCTTACAAAATCTAAACACCACTTCCATCATGGACACATTTTAACTTACAAAACCTTCCTGGATTTATTCCTTAAACAATGATTATTTGTTCAATTTCCACTAAAAGCCTCGTGATTTTTCTTATTTTCTTTAAATTCATATACGCATTACATTTATCCGAGCAAAATACCTAAAACGGATCATGTATAAAAGTTTCCATATTTACCCAAAAAGTTAGTACGGCTTTAGTGAAACAAAAAAACAAAACTTGGACATGACCACCACACTTAACATAAAACCCGAACATTTTTAACGTCAGTCTCAAGCTCAATTTGGTTTTTGGTTTTTGGTTTTTTTAAATCTTAATAGTTTATAACCTTTTTTTATTTAATTGATGATAGAATTTGAATCTGAAAAACTTCAAACCAAATTTATGATAGAACTTGAAAGTTAGAAGAACAAATCCAGATTGTGTATCTACTCTAATAAATGAAATTTTTTTTGTCAAATGTCACTCTCTTATTGATTTGGCCACATGTCATTTTGTGGTTATTTTCAATTAAACTTTTTCTACATGGCATTTTGTGGTTTTTTCCATTTTATTAAACACATAATATTTAAATATAATAATTGTAATAAATGTAATAATAAATGCATATCAATTTCAATAATTGACTTTCCTTCTAATTTCAAATTTCTAAATTAAAACTTTATTTTTTTTTTTGTTTATTTATCTAAATTATTTGTTTAAATTTAAAAATGAAAAAACATTTTAATTTTAATAATTCAGTATTTTTCTTATAAATTCAAACTTTTTCATATGTTTAGAATTTTCATATTTAAATTTTTTTAAATGAACCCATGTAATACATGGTACTTACACCTAATATTCAAATATTCGCTTTTATCTTTAAACAACTAAAGCTTTTTTATATTCTAACCTCCGTTTTGTGGTGTCGTAATCTGTAACTTTTCTATTAGGCGGAGAGTACTTTTGTAAATTTTTAAATACATGGATTGTTCCTGAAAAAAATCTACACATACTTTTATGTAAACTACAGGGATAATTTTATAATTTATTTTTCTACGAAAAACATACGAAAATATTATGGCCAAATCTCAAACCCAATGACTACTAATTTCCCAATTGCAATTAGATAATAATTTGGCATGTATACACAAATAGCGCAAACTGAAAAGCACAACGTTCTTTGAGCATTTTGTTTTCAGAATTGGACAGCATGTGTGAAATCTTTTGGTAATTATATTTATAATGATATACTAAGATTCACGAAACGATTTTAATGACTATAATAACACAGTAAACGACAATCATAACCTAGTCAAGAGTTCCAGTGTTACAATCAGTACCACAACATCAACTGATACAGAAACGTACCAAAAGGCCAGACCCTTTTTCCAGAGCCAAATTCAACCAGTGTACATCTTCCAATGTACAATGTACAAGTCATCTCCAAGCTTTGGAAAAAAAAGGTCTTCCTTTTCACTAAAAAGGTGGTTACAAATTGGAGGCACCCAGCATAGGGATAGGGTGGGTGCCCCTGGTTAGGTGTTCCCTAAAACAATCAGTAAAAAGGTACAAACTCTAACCTCACTTGGTCCCTCCCCTCCCCTCCCCTCCCCCTCCTATACACAAACTTTGGTTTTGTTTTTTCAGTAACTCATGCCAACTGGATTTGCTTCAAGATTCTCCTTTAAAGTTTCACACTCCATTGCTACAGCTTCTCCATTATCACTGGTATGCTTGCCTTTTTCACCAATTTCTACATTGTTGTTGTCATCATGGACTGGACTTGGGTCCTTGTCTTTCTCATGTAACTCGGGCTTACAATCAGTGTCACCCTCTTCAAGTGGTCTGTTGTCGTTGTCGTTGTCGTTGATGGTTTCAATGGCTTCAGGGGAGCTTTCTTGTTTGATTTCCTTTAGATTTGCAGGCATGGATGAGAGGATGTTAGGGTTTGTTTCAAGATCAACCCAACGGTCTCCCACCCAATCTCTTGAAACTCTAACGTCTTTTCTGTGTAGTTCAAGAAACAATGTTTCGGCTGTTGTTTACAAACCAGAAGAAAAAGATGGTGTGAGAGACGAGACAAGACAAGAATCAATAAATAAATGTTACAATTTACAATTTATTGCTTACTGGGAACATAAACTTGTACGTCGGAATCACCAATTCCAACTACTACTCCTTCCCACCAGCCATCACTCCACCATGCGTCCACCGGGGAACCGACCTCAAAAGCAATCGTTTCCGTTTCCGTTTCCGTTTCCGTACGTGCTACCGCTGGCCTTATAGTTGGCCGACCCGAGCATCTCATTCCGAGTTTGTCGGGCATGGCCGATCTCAAAGCTGAAACCCATTCCTTAAAACAAGTCAACAATCAGTTAGTTGATTCATCTTGTTTCACTTCTCTGCACTTTGTAGGACACAAGACCATTTCAAATGAAACTGTCCTTGTAAAAGACCCCTAAAGTTCCAATATATTTAGTAATTATTTTAATAATACTATATTAGTTATGAGGTTAAATGCAAGAAATAGCCATGTAATTCCATTGATTTGTTTGTTATAGCATCCTACTTGTATCATTTCCTATTGCAACATTGTATTTTCAAAAATCTATCCAATTATAGCAATGTCATCTATATACAAAGCGATTCTCATTGCTATTTTTGGCATTAGCCCTCATATATTTACGAAATGAAAAACAGGCAGAACAAGTATTACCAGATCAACCAAACCCGTTTTTATATTATTTAAATATGATTCAGGTTCAAAATTGTCTGCCTAATGTATGCTCTGAGTGTTTAAAACCACCTAGCTATTTAATTCGAAACAACTGAACCGTTACTTCAATAAATGTTCTTGGCTTGTTGCAATATATTAATCATTGGGTTAAATGCACGAACTAGCAATGTACTTCCATTGATTTCTTTGTTATAGCATCCTACTTCTGTTTTTTCCTATTACAAAGCAATTTTAACTGGGTAGATATTTCAAAATATAATGTCCTAACAAGGAAAAAAACTAAAAGTGCAGTATGCTATAATTGACTAGTGTTTTTTATAAGTCAAATGCCTTAAATAAGAAAATAAACTGAACATATAAAGTTGCAATTGAAGTAAGATGCTAGAATTCACAGATAAACAAAAGTGGGTTGCTATTTCTTGCATGTAGCCCTTAATTATTATTTACGAACCCAAACTAAAATTTTATCATATATGAAGTAGAAACTCTTAAAGCAAATACAAATAGGACTTCATACCTCAAGATTACCACCTCCATCTTCATCATTCAAATCATCATATTGAACTTTCAATTGTCTCCTAGAAACTTGCAACACGGTACACCTAAACCAGCATCCACGAATCCCACTATCTTGGCACAACAACTCTATCTTTTCATCAACCTTAAAAACCAAATTATCTGAAGCGAATTCCCGATTCTTGACATACTTTGGGATTAGCCTCCTTCTCAACATCTCATACTTGACATTCATACTCACCGAGTGAGGTTCACTCTGCATCACCTGCCGCCCTCTCAAACTCCTTGGTCTTTTCACTCCCAACTTAACATTATCTTTATCCCCAAAGCTATTATTATTATTATTATTCTCTTCATCTTCAAGATAATCAGTATCCAGAATCGAAAAAATCGGCTGATCAAAATACCCACACAATTTACTCAATTTAAACGGCTTCACACGGTTGTTCTTGAACTGTCTCGAGCAATGATGCACTCGAGTTAATAGATCTTCCGGAAGGATGGACATGCATTTCTCATAATGCTCATGTGTCATGACAATGGCGGGCCCATCCACACACTCGACACTGATAACTTGTGCATAAGGCGTAATGAAAACCTCTTTTGGGTGAGAATTTCGAAGGGTGACAACAGCTTGGACTTCTTGATTGTGGTGAAACCATCTCACTTTTACCTTCTTTTGGCCCTTTCGATCTTCATACATATCTTCTAGATATGCAAGATGACGTTTTTCCTCTTCGGCCATCACAAATACAAACGATTGTACCTGAAAAGATCATCATGTAATTTACAAATTTTATTTTACTAAGTAAATCTCAAATAATTTAACCAACTCACAGCTATTGTAATCCCGTTCCTGCAAAAGGCTGGAAAATGCTTCAGCTGTTTACCGCAGGTCCACGCTACACCCGACCACACTATGTCAGGTGTACGCAACTTTATATTTCTTGGAACACGATTCTGATACGGAGCACTAACTCCCGAAATATGATCACTTTTAGGGGATGATTCTGAATTTTCAAAAAAAATAAATAAATAAATAAATGTTACTCTACTAAAGCTAGGGTTTTATCATATTTCCTGAAAGATTGTCTCTTTAATGGGAGAAAATGATATAGCATCAAACTTACTTTAGGTGGCAATGAGAACTTTTTAAGCATATGAATCAAACTACAACTACAAAGACTATTTTTCTTTTACTCAAAGACAACAAACTTTTTGACCTAGAAGATGGAACAATTTCATCATGAGAGGTAAGCACTAGAGTGCACAGGTTTTGTTCGATCAATAGCAAAATTTACATCTAGAATTAAAGAAAATTTGACGAAACAAGCTGAAAGATGAAATAACGGCTCAAGGAAATAAAGGAAACTTACTGGAATGTTCACCTTGGCGGTGCTGCTTTGATAGCATAGAAGTAAGCCAGTTCACCACCTCTCTCCTTGATCTCCATCTATACCCAGCATTGACTGAATTCTGGGCCTCGTTGACCTTTAAGAACTCCTCCGCGACCACATAAAACATATGCCTAATGCTCCTCTCGGTTCCCACAACTGCAAGCACCGATTCCCCTGATATATCTTTCAGAAAATAGTGCACTACCCTCTTACCCCTTTCCTTTGAAACGAATAGCTCTTTCCACTCCACAAAGCATTGACTATTTGCAGCCATGTTTGGAACAAGAATCAGTATATGCTGAATTCACTAATAACGCATGTCAGAACCCTAATTTACAAAAGTAACAATTTAACCTAGACCCTACCCACCATAAATTTTTAACAAGAAGACACTATCCTACAGTTCTTACAAACCCTAGTTGCCAGAAACAAATGACTAGAGGTGTATATGAGAAATATTGGCAAAGGGTTCCGTAAGTCAAAGGAACCCTATTCAGCTGCCAAGAAACCCAACAATTTTGGAAGGAAATAGCACCAAATCCTCAACAAATACATACCCAAAGTCTTGATTGAAACCCCAAAACTTGAGAAATACAAAGCGGGTATCCCGTGAAACTAAGAAATAACCAAGGTACTAGCTAATTTCTTGAAGATCTGACTGTAATACACGAAAAAATCTCAACCAATATACAAAAAGTTCGAGACTATGGAAACCCTTGAGAACTATGCCAAAAGTATCTGATAAGGCTAAAGGGCGCCTCTTTTGTGGTGGTTGAAGACGGCAGATGATGGCGGTGGTTGATGCAGGTTCGGGAAACAGTCGAGAAAGGTGATATTCTTCTTAGCAAGATAGATATACATATGTGCCTATAGATAGAAGAAGAGGATGAGAGAGAGGTGAGAACTTTGGGGATGTAGGCAGAAGGTTAAATTGAAAAACAGTCAGGTGGTTTACAGGGTTAGCTGATGGTGGTGATGGCGGTGAATGAATGTAGAAGAGAAAGGTAGGATGAGAGAGTGGTGGCCGGCCGGTAGGGAAAAGGGGGCAAAACCATCAAGAAATCATATTCTAACGGAGGAGGGTTTTATGTATGGTGTGAATGGTAAGAGGCAAGTTTATTGTGTAACCCTGTGGGCCCCACAAAATGACGCCCAGCAAGTCCCCCGCATTCGACCTCATCCCCCAAGCCCCAAGGCATACTTCAGTATTTTAGAGTTAATTCACCCGAAGATAATATTTGGAGGTGAGATCTATTTGTATAACTATCTTTTTATTATGAAATAAATATAAATATTAAGTTAGTTACGATCAGTTTGTGAATACGTGAGAATACATTTCTCAATAAAGTGAGCTTGTTATATATATATATATATATATATATATATATATATATATATATATATATATATATATATACTAGATTATAACCTGTAGAAACCACGGTCGGTATATTTAAAATTTCTATATAAATAAAAATAATAATAAATGTAAAAAAAACCAAGATATTGTCGATTGTAAGTAATTATGAATTAATTTGTTAAGCAAAATAAAATAATAATGTTATTAGGATAAGATTTTGTATTTTCAAATTTTGGATTGAATTTGATTTGTTACAAAAAAAAAGGAAATAATAAAAATCATAGAAAAGTGTCACGTGTCAAAGAGGCATTCTAAAAAACTGACACGTGTCATTTTTAGGTTTCATTTATTAGGATAGATAATAATAAATGTAAAAAAAACCAAGATATTGTCGATTGTAAGTAATTATGAATTAATTTGTTAAGCAAAATAAAATAATAATGTTATTAGGATAAGATTTTGTATTTTCAAATTTTGGATTGAATTTGATTTGTTACAAAAAAAAATAAAAAAAATCATAGAAAAATGCCACGTGTCAAAGAGGCATTCTAAAAAACTGACACGTGTCATTTTTAGGTTTCATTTATTAGAAGAGGTAGATATATATATATATATATATATATATATATATATATATATATATAGGGTTGAGTTATTTGGAAAATAAGGAAAACCCTAACACCCCGTTCCCGAGTTCAACTTAACGAGAGAAATGAAAGGAAACGGCTGGAAATGAGAAGAAAATAAAAAAAATTGGTGTTCCCGAGTTTCATTAAAGGAGGGAAGTGGAGGGAAGTGGAGGGAAATAAGAGGATCATTTTCCCTTCTAACTTTCCTTCCGATTTGGGAGGATTTGGAAAAAAGAACAAAATGATTCATTTTCCTTCCACTTCTCTCCAACTCGGGAACACAAAAGAAAATTTTATTTTCCTTTCCTTTCTCTTCTTTTCTCTCATGACTTTCTTTTCTCTTCTCTTCTTTTCTTTTGTTAAACTCGGGAACGAGGCGTAAAAAAAGAAAAGAGCGAATCAGAACTTGACAACGCACATATGTATGAATATTACGCATCACGTCTTCAAAAGGGTATTTTAGTAAACATTTCGTTTGGAAAATCGGTTACACTTTCGAAATTCGAACTCGGAATCGATTCAAAACTGAATAAATTTCAATTTTGAGTTTTGAATTTGAAATTCAAAATGATTTCTACTTCACCGATTTTCAAATTCAATTTTTGAATTGATATTTCGATTAAATGTTGAGATATATTTGAACGATATATGCAAAAAATTAGAGAATTATATTCAAATCTACGAATTGATCTGCAAAAATCACAAAATCACAATCGGCATTGCCTGATATTCCCAATCGGCGTTTCTCCCGGTGTCGCACAGCCTCACACACGCATCAGCTAAATTTGGTTTCTTCAATTTCATTATTTTGAATTTCGTTTCTGATTTCTATGTTTGATTTGTTCACGTAATTGTATTTTGCCCAACCCCACCCCCACAAATTCCAATTGATTGTTGCTTATTTTCTGGTTAAGAATTTCTTAATTAGACAGATTATGCATATCAAGATGAACGAAGGATTGCTAAGAATTTCACAGCCTTTCTTTTGTAAACCCATAGATACATGAAGCTTATCTTTTGTTAATTACAATAATATTCTATTTTTTTAAATGGAAAAAATGGTTTTTATATATATATATATTTTTTTGTATTCACGTGTAAATTTATTTGTATATTAGAAATGAAATTGATGAGAATGCATACAGAGAGCATATAAAAAAAAGGATGATGATTGTAATGGAATTTCAAATTCCAGGGTAGGATACAAGAAAGTGATTTTGAGTATGTTGGGCACAAGATGAAGGCATGAGGACCAAATACTACATTGGTTACATAGACAGCTCAACTGTTCTCCTGAAATGTCACACCCCCGAACCAGACGGCGGAAACGTCCGAGGGCTCACGTGACTAAATTTGAATATCATCACAATGAATATACATGAATCATAACATAAACATCACCATGCATTAATATAATACAACTAACACTGTTCACATCAAGTACATTGTTTTAACATTACAAATCCATAACATAAGAAGTTGATAGTTTTTCAAAAGCACAACGCACAAACATACTTGATACTACTCCTCAGCCTACCTGTTACCTGAGAATACAAGTTATTTTGAAAACGGTCAACATATGGAATGTTGGTGAGTTCATAAGCAGGTTTGATGTGAAAATGTTTTGTGCAGTTTGTAAGAAAACAACCCAGAAAATCCGATTTTCTGAAAAGACCATTGTTTATATAAAAGTGTGAAGATCCGTAAATATATGCATGATGATTTCCAAACGTGTATAGTTGAAAAACTTTGTATTAAAAGTACCAGTGAAAAAAATGTTGAACTTTCCTGGAAAACCCGATGTTTTCCGATAACAAAATATCATATAACTGTTCGAATTGTTATTCCATCACGTGAATGATTTTGATTTACCTTGATTACTTGATTAATATTGGATTTATTTATGTGAGTCGTTATAACCATGCATGATGATGACTAGTTCGTCTGTCTTGGCACTCTGGTGAACGCCGGAATTGATCTTAAGATTTTGTCACCCTAGACTGGCCGAGTCTAACTGTAGCGAACAGCTGAGGTGTGGGGGAGTCACCCCCGTATAGATCTATACACAAACTCTCGCTCTCCCTCCAGGAGACTTTGATTATAACTACAGACTACGACCGACACACGTTGGTGCCACCCGTTATTACTCACTAAATCCCAATTGACTTTGATTACTATTGATTATCGACCTGTATTTGTTTACTTGGATTGACGATCGGCCTAATAAACGAGGAGAAGAGGATTACAAGATCCTACTATTCCCGCGTATTATTTATGGCTATTGGTTATACGAAGGACACGCTGGCCCATTTCGTATTTGATTTACTTGGACCTTACTAGCAATGCTAATGGGCCACCAAGGCCCAATAGCACTTAAAAGCCATTGAGGGTCCCTTAAATATGAAATTGGGTCATAGAAGGCCCAATAATTTTATCCCTTGGGCCCAAAAATCATGTTAATGGGTCACAAAGACCCAACAAGCATGATTTGAGACTTTCAAGCCAAAAGATTTGAATGTTTACTTGTTTTAGGTATAGTTTGATTGTTGGAAAGTTTGATTGAACCATTGTTAAATTTGTATCGGTACGAGACCGGTCGGTCGTTTTTAACGACGTTGAAATTATTCGTATTTTCATCTTTCCATTTTCATGAATTGTAGTTTGGTATTTTTATTTTAACTCAAATATCTTAAAAATAAAATAATTGATTCAAAAATCTTGGTTTGAACCCCTTTCAGCCCTTCTTTGGTAAAATTGACGATTTTAGTCCTTTATATACAAAAAAAAACATTTTAAGCCCTTAAACCATTTTCTTGACACTTTTGACCCAAAGACTTGCTCAAGTGATATTTTTAGTTCAAAACTTATTCCTCGGCAGTTTCAGCCCTTCCAGAAAAAGTATTTTTCGGTTAAAGCCCAAACTTTTGCAACTTTTACAATTTTGGCCCAAATCCAAAAACTTTACATTTTTGATCCTCTTTGGAAAAGAAAAGCATTTTAACCCTTGAAATAGTTTTGTTTAACTTTTTATCCCCTGCTTTGAGGAATTTATCATTTCAGCCCCTTGAAAATCATGTTTTTTGCAATTTTGGACTTAATGGGTCGAAAAGCCCAAATTTGGCCCATTAAGCTACAAATTACATTTCTAGTCCTTTGAAGAGTATAATATTCATAAAAACATTTATTGTAACTTTTTTGACTCTTTTTATCCTTAAGAAAACCGTGAATGGCAATTTTTAACCCAACTTTTGTTTATTTGACAAATTAAGCCCAAAAATTGGTTTTGTGTTGAAATATGTATATTTTAATCTTAGAGGTGATTTTTCTTGACTTGTTTTAGTGTAATACTTCTTAGAACATGTTTATATTCCTCTTAGAGTCATAGATCTCGAAATTCTATTCTTTTGTTGCACATTTACCACAAAAACACATGAAATCACACATAACATACACATACACATAGATCTACACATTTTACTTGTATTCTCCCTCATAAAACACATGAAAACCGAAAATAGAGGGGTATGAACTCACCTTGAGTTTGTGGGTTCGGTTTTGAAGAAGAATGGAAGAAGTTTGATGTTATTCTCGGCCTAGCAAGCTTCTTGGAGGATCTTTGGCTTAGATGTGTTCTAAGATGCAAGATCACGAATTTTGTATGAGTTAAGGAGAGATTTTTGATAAAACAAAGAGTCTAGACTATGGATCCAAGCATCAACTTACCTAAGATGATGACTCTTATGGAAAATCCTTCTTGAAAGCTCTTAGATCTCGAAATTTTTGATGAAGAAGCAAGAGTGTTCTTTGAGAGTGTTTGAGAGAATTTTGGAAGAGTGTGGGTGTGTGTGATGTGTTCTCGGTCGAAGAAGAAAAGAGAGGGGAGAAGAGAGAGTGTGAAGTGATAGATGCTTGGAAGTATGGGATAGTTGCATGGGTATCCCATGTATAATTGTGAGGTGGCATGTAAAAAGTCAACTCTTCCTCCCTTTGTTTTGTGGTTGGGCCGAGAGAGGTAGAAGGAAGAAAAGAAGTTGGGCCTTTTTGTGCTTAAGCCCATATTATGATCCAATTAGATGATTTTTGGCCCAATTGGTCTTTGGAGAGGGTTCACGGC